GTGGTAGACAATAGATGTTATTCAAGCATTTAAAACAACACAAAGCACACATACAGACAGGACATTTTTTAATGGTTTCCTTTCAGAAAGTTTATCTTGACATAAAAGTGCACTTCACTTGCTCTCAATTCAAACATTTGTCTTCATATTTCTAAATACAAGTGTTTCTGGAAAGTTTTTTTAAACATAAAGTTCAATAGATAAAATCCTGTTTCACCACTGACTTATATTACAGAAGCACCCATCCAGCTACCCAAAAAGGAAACCCTAGTTAATTAACAATATTTAGACAGAAAGCTTTCAGATAGGGCTTAACCCTGTGACAACCAGCAGGCTAGAGTTCCTGCTTTGCTCTACCTGATGAAATTTGTAATCCAGGTAATAGTGTACTTCAGGACATTGCAGTTGTCTTTGAATTCCTTTCAGTTTCTTTTGTCTGTACAGAAGAGACCTCTGGCACTTTTGTATGGAATAGTTACCTTTGATTCTCTCCAAAGTGTTACAAAGCAGGTTTTTGTTTGGTTTGAGAATTACTGGCCGGGCATGGTGGCTCATGCCTGAAATCCCAGCACTTTGGGAGGCTGAGGTGGGAGGACTGCTTGAGCCCAGGAATTTGAGACCAGCCTGGGCAACATAGTGAGACCCTGTCTCTACAAAAAATGAAAACAAAAAGAGCCAGGTGTGCTGACATGGACCTGTTGTCCCAGCTACTCGGGAGGCTGAGGTGGGAGGATCACTTGAACCTAGGAAGTTGAGGCTGCAGTGAGCCATGTATTCTTCATCCTTCACTGTATAGCATGATATGGGAAGATCCTGCCATTTCCTTGTTGTTGTTTTGCTTTTTGTTTTGTTTTGTTTTTTTAAGACAGGGTCTTGCTCTGATGCTCAGGCTGGTCTCAAACTCCTGGGCTTAAGTGATCCTCCCATCTTGGCCTCTCAAAGTTCTGGGATTACAGATGTGAGACACCACTCCTGGCTGCTCCTGTCATTTCATTTGTTTTTCCAGAAAATTATGCATTGTGGTTTTACACTTTGAAGGAAGTCATGGAAAACAGAAATGTATTAGACATGGTCCCATTTACCCCATATCTTATACTCCATAAAAAGTAATAAGGCAAATACAGCAGTAATTCTAAACTTGGAACGCTCATGATCACTACCATAAGAGAATGTGTATTAAAGAAGAAACAGTTAATTTTCTAGCTGAACAATATCAAGGACAATTTTAACTGGTTTCCAGTTGGACTGAACTAGACCAACTCTTAGCTACTCTAGTTCTAGCCATAGAAATTAGATTGAATGGAGAAAAGGATTAAAATAAACCTTGGTGGCATGTTGACTTTGAGGTGTTAGAAAACCTGGAAGTGTACCAGAAGTCTTCCATGCTGTGATAAAATTTGAAGCCAACATGAAAGTGGAGTTTAACTAGGGAAAGAGGATGGAGCAGTGGTTATCAGAGTGTGGTCCTCAGACCAGCAGCATCACCCAGAAGCTTGTTAGAAAGGCAGATTTTCAGGCCCCATCCATGATCTACTAAATCTGAAACTCTGGTGATGGGGCCCAGCAGTCTGTTTTAATGCTTTCCCGGGGATTCTGGTGCACACTAAAGTTTGAGAGTAACTGAGACAGAGGGAAAATGTGGGACTAAGGACTCCAGTTTAAGGTTTGTAAATTTGAAGACAACAAAAAGAAGTCTCACCGTTGGAGGGAGCCATGGCAGTGAAACTTCCATAAAAGCCACAGGAGGAGAGAATTTCAAGGAGATAGTGTTGTCCAGTTCTACAGGAAATTTAGTTCTGTTTGGGATATTTGTACCACTTCCAAAGTGAGACCTTGTGTTTGCCTCTTACCTTTTTCTGAGCCTCAGTTTTTAAGATGAGTCTGGCATCATGTTCTGCTCCCAACTTCATAAGGTTTTTGAGTGAATCACATTAGATAGTAAGCCTAGCATGGTAGCACACACCTGTAGTCCCAGCTACTCAGGAGGCCAAGCCAGGAGGATTGTTTGAGCCCAGGAGTTCAAGACTGGCCTGAAAAATATAAAGACCCTGTCTCAAAAAAAAAAAAAAAAAAAATAGATTCAATGGCATTATCAAAGTAAACAAAGATTCATGAAGTAGCTAATCTTTCTGTTACCATAACCATGAATTCTGGCCATAATTATTTCTCTCTCTCTCTCTTTCACTCTCTCTCTCTCTTTCTTTCTTTTTCTTTTTTTTTTTTGAGACAGAGTCCTGCTCTGTTGCCCAGGCTGCAGCGCAGTGGCACCATCTCCGCTCACTGCAACTTCCACCTCCCAGGTTCAAGTGATTCTCCTGCCTCAGCCTCCCGAGTAGCTGGGATTACAGTCACGCGCCTTCATGCCCAGCTAATTTTTGTAGTTTTAGTAGAGACAGGGTTTTACCATGTCGGCCAGGCTGGTCTCAAACTCCTGACCTCAGGTGATCTGCCCGCCTCGGCCTCCCAAAGTGCTGGGATTACAGGTGTGAGCCCCTGTGGCCGGCCAGCTCTGGCCATAATTCTAAAACCAAACTTTAGGACTAAAGCTCTCAAGAAGACTGGTGTTTTTGTTTTTGTTGTTTTTGTTTTATAACAATGCTCCCATGTACTTGCATGAGTTAAATGCTGGTAGAGCAGATACTAGAGGATAATGTAACCTGCCTGGATATCAAGTACATACCAGTCCTCAGGGACTGGCATAGATGGTGGAGATGCCCCATTTCCTTAATATACATTTTTTTGTATCTTCTTACTTGGAAATGTGACAGTTAAGATAGCTGAGTCAGCCTTTTAACTGTTTATTAACAGTGGAAACAGATGGAATTTGAGTCATATTTCTGGGAGGGCAACAGATTCCATACTGATAAGAAATTTTGTGTTCCCTTTTTGTGGGAATTGTAAAATGATAACAAATATCACTTATTCTGATTTAACAGATGGAAAAACTGAAGTATACAGTAGTGATGCTCAAGAGGGGCGCTATGCATAGACAATGAAATTTACCACTTATGCAGTATGATTTGATAGGTCCTTACATTCCTCAGGGTCACAGATTTGGTCCCCTGACAATCTGCCAGCATACTTGTAATTCCTGCTGTTCACAGTTACTCTTTCGGGGCCATCTCAAGGTTCTCAATAAATGCCTGTTTGAGTGATTGAACAAACAAGATACTAAAGACATAAACTCCCTTAAATTGGATAGCTGCCTTATCTGAAAAGTGTAAGATTATCGACTCTAGCATTATTCTGAATATATGTGTACGATTTAACCCATTATTAGCTCCCATTTAGGTGCAGGGTTTTGATGGAATAGTATCCAGTAGGCTGATGTTTTGTGTAGTGAAGATGTAGGAAAATGCTAGAGTTTTAGAGCAGTGCCTTTGGCTTCTAGGATCTTAGGGAAAGTAGGAGATGTGATACGCTTAACTAACCTGGATGCCATGTGAGATTTATTTATTTTTGAAACAGGGTCTAGCTCTGCCACCCAGGCTGCAGTGCAGTGGCATGATCACGTCTCACTGCAGCCTGGACCTCCTGGGCCCAAGTGATCTTCCCACCTTAGCTTCCCAAGTAGCTGAGACCCCACCATGCCCAGCTAATTTTTTGTATTTTTTGTATTTTTTAATTTTTTGTATTTGCAAAAATGGGGTCTTGCTTTGTTGCTCAGGCTGGTCTCAAACTCCTGGGCTCAAACAATCCTCCTGCCTCAGCCTCCCACAGTGCAGGTATTACAGGCGTGAGCCACCATGCCTGGTCTGCATGAATTTTGATATATCAAAAGGAAGTAAATAAGGTGGGAGAGATGCACCGTTCCTGGGTTTCTGGAGGTATTGAAATACAGGTTGATGTGTAGAGTAGCTGGAGCAAACTCCTATTCCATCTCCTTGCTTCAAAAACCCATTTAACATATTTTCCTTGGATAGAGAATGTGTCATATTAAACTGATAAGAACAGATACTACACTTGATCTTAGCCAAAAGGGTAAGTTTCACTGGAGTAGCCTGCAGTAGATCTGGACTTTCTCCTCTGGAGACCACGTAGGAGGCTACTTTAATAGGTGAAAAGATGATAAGGAATTTAAAAAGGAACATTGCAGTGGTAACAGGCAGGGACTGATGGAAATATTTCAGGAATAGCATGGAAGATAATATTCCATATCACCTGCACTCTGATTCACTCTGGCAAATGGGACACGTGGGGGATCGGCTTCCTAAGCTATCCCAGTAATTTACACACCTGTTTGTTTCTGTGCCCATGAAATCGCCAGTGTCTTTAAGGTAAGGATCATATATTTTTATCTCAGTGTTCCTAGAACCCTTTCAATGACACACTGAAAGGTGGCCTGTATGGTTGCTGAATCATTGGAAAATAGACATTCATAAATAACTAAAGATTACAGGTTATCTCACAGTAAAATCATTAGCATTAAAGGCTCAGTAATGACTGATAAGACACTACACTGATTACATTTCAACCTAATCTTTTTAGCGATTTGTTTTTAAAAGTCTCCATTAAACTGGTAAATTCCTCATCCCACAAATAGCCATAGAGACTGGAGTGCCAGCTTCAAAATACTTTTTTTTTCTTTTTTCTTTCTGAGCCGAAGTCTTGCTCTTGTTCCCCAGGCTGGAGTGCGATGGCGAGATCTCGGCTCACTGCAACCTCCGCCTCCCGGGTTCAAGCGATTCTCCTGCCTCCGCCCCCCAGTAGCTGGGATTACAGGCGCCTGCCACCACGGCCGGCTAATTTTTGTATTTTTTTAAAAATAGAGACGGGGTTTTACCATGTTGACCAGGCTGGTCTAGAACTCCTGACCTCAGGTGATCCACCCGCCTCGGCCTCCCAAAGTGCTGGGATTACAGGACACCCACCCAGGCCACCGCACCTGGCCTCAAAATACTTTTTTCCTTAGCTGTTTTTATCGAGTGGCCAGGTGCCTATTATAGTGTTCTAAGAAGACGTTAGTCGGGACCAGGAACGTGGGAAGTACTGGTTTCCATATCGATTTGGTGGTGATCGTAAACTGATTCAAATCTCTGAATCCCAACTGCACGCCGAATTTACGGAACCAAAAACGCTCTGACGCCCGCATTTATGAGCGGACGCACAAGTATGTTACGATGGCTCGATTGCTTTTGCCTAGCGGAAATCACTCAGTAAGGACCAAGCACTAAATAACCAAGGAAAAGGAAGTGAGTCAAGGACGTACTCCCCTTGGTGACAGCGTGGGCCGCTGAGATTTGGGAGTCTGCGCTGGGTCCGCTTGGAGTTCTGAGCGGATGGAAGATTTTCAGTCATGTTTGCACCCGCGGTGATGCGTGCTTTTCGCAAGAACAAGACTCTCCGCTACGGAGTCCCCATGTTGGTGAGTGGAGTGAGGAGGATCTTCCGCAAGGGGTGGGACCCTCCTCCTCGGCAGGATCAAGACCTGGGAGGGAATCTGTAAAATGTGAAGTTAAGTGGGGGCACTCGGGCTAGGAAGGGGCTAGCGACGGGCTGAGAGCTTTCCTAAAAGCTCTTCTACCAGTCTTTTCCTACCCACACCCCGCACTTCCCCGCCGCTGTCCTCCACTCCCAGTTGGATCTCAGGTGTACTAGGATCTGTCTGCTTGTGAGCGTGGCATCTTTCCCATCGTCGAACGCGGTCATTGTTACTACCCTTGATTCACAGTTAAGTGAACTGAAGCAAAGAGAATTCAGTCAGAACCACAGTTTAAGCCAAGTTTGGATGATTACTAAGCTTGCTTCCTCACCGCCACCTTAGCTATATTTTGACGATACTGTGGATCATTGGGACTAGATGTATTCCATTTAACTGTACCAATTCCTGGTATCTTTCTGTTTCATCTTTCTAGTTTGTGAATTAGCTTAATTCTTAGAGTTGTGATGAACTGATAACACCTTGTGAATAAAGTGTTGAGTACGGTGCCCGCCACATTGTAGCCAGAATGGTTGCTGTGTTATAATTTCTTAAGCACGTTGAAAACAGCTTCCGTGTTTGTATGGTTGCATCCAATTCCACACTGAGTTCCCTAAGGATGTTGTGAAAATGCAGGCTGAGGCTGGCTTAAGACAACCAGAGTTGAAATCCAGATGACTCTATTTGCTTTTTGATCACGGGCAATTTATTTTGCTTCAGCAAGCCTTGATGTGTTAGTAAATGAAATAATTAAAGCATATGAACAGAAGCTGCTTTCTTTTAAATACAGAAAAGATTTTTATTTTGTATGAATATTGGCACAGATGAAATGACCAACTTTTCCATTTAAGCAGACTAAAGGAAATAAGTGACCTTAGAAAGGTAATGGGTATTTTACACATTTTTGAAAAATATAGATTCATCAAATTTGGATTTTAGGAATCTCCAGAAGATTCAACCATTTAAAGTATCTGGGCCAAGCACGATGGCTCACACCTGGAATCCCAGTGTTAGGGGAAGCCAAGACAGGAGGATCGCTTCAGGTCAGGAGTTCCAGACCAGCAAGACCTCTGTCTCTCCAAAAAAAAAAAAAAAAAAAGTTCAATTTGTTGTTTTTAGCAAATTCAGTATTAGTATATTCTTAGTCATGGACCCATCACCACAATTTTAGAACATTTTCATCACCCCAAAAAAGCATCATAACTAATAGTAATCACTTCCCATTTCTTCCTACTTCTTATGCTGGCCTGGTAAACCACTAATTTACTTCTACTCGTAAATTTGCTTATTCTGCACATTTCTTATGAACACACTAATACAACATGTGGGTTTTTTGTGACTGAATTCTTCTACTTAGAATGTTTTTAAGGTTCATTCACATTGTAACATATATCAATACTTCATTCCTTTTGATGGATATAATTCCATTGTTTGGATATATTTTATCAATTGATGAACATTTGGTTGTTTCCATTTTTTACTATTATGAATAATGCTGCTATGAACATTTATGTACACGCTTTGTGTGGAAGTATGTTTTCATTTCTCTTGGGTAGGGAATATACCTAGGCATGGAATTGCTAGGTCATATGGTAACTCTGTGTAACTTTTTAGTATGTGCCAGATGTTTTCCAAAGTGGCTGCATCATTTTACATTCCCACCAGCAATATATAATTTTCAATTTCTCCACATCCTTGTCAACACTTGTTATTGTCCATCTTTTTAATTATTACCCTTTCTACTAGGTGTGAAGTGATTCCTCATTGTGGTTTTGCTTTTCATTTACCTAACGACTTATTGTGTTGAGCATCTTTTCAAATGTTTATTGGTCATTTGACTATCTTTTTGGAGAAATGTCTGTTCAAATCCTTTGCCCATTTTTTAATTGGACTGTGTTTCCTTTTGTTGGACAGAGGTTTCTTTAAAACCTGAAACCGGCCGGGCGCGGTGGCTCAAGCCTGTAATCCCAGCACTTTGGGAGGCTGAGACGGGCGGATCACGAGGTCAGGAGATCGAGACCATCCTGGCTAACACGGTGAAACCCCGTCTCTATTAAAAAATACAAAAAACTAGCCGGGCGAAGTGGCGGGCGCCTGTAGTCCCAGCTACTCGGGAGGCTGAGGCAGGAGAATGGCGGGAACCCGGGAGGCGGAGCTTGCAGTGAGCTGAGATCCGGCCACTGCACTCCAGCCCGGGCGGCAGAGCGAGACTCCGTCTCAAAAAAAAAAAAAAAACCTGAAACCAACAAATCTGCCAGTCTTTGTTGAGAGGCTCTGCATGCTTTTTTGGGCATGCTTTCAACATTCAGCCATGCAATTTACAGCTCAGTGTACAGCTTTCACTTCTTACTTGCTCAGAGCTTCAAAATTAGTAATAAGTTGAGAATTTAGGGCCTTCTTAGGTCTTTCTTGGGCATATACATTGCTCTGGGCATGTACACAGTTCTGCTTATTTGCATGACTTTCTAAATTCTCAGGAATATATTTGAGCTTTTCAGGGTCCTCTAAGGACACCTTATTCCTATTATCTACCACATTAGACAGTCATAATGTTAAACAATTACCTCGGAATTTTTTTGTTTGTTTGACAAACACTTCCTAGAAGTCTGTTCATACTAGTTGAGCTCCAAGTCAGGTAAACTAAAGACAGCTTTGTGAATAGCATCTTCTAGGAACTACCAGACTGCTGGAATGATGACAATTCTCACGGAATGGTGTTTTAAAGAGCTCCAAGCTCTCTACCCTCTCCAGTTGGTGCCAGGCTTTACATCATGTTTGCAGGCTGTTGATTTTCATGGTTGTTATGGAGCTTGGGTGGAGGGGTGAGAATATGGCAAATTAAAAATGCCACCAAGCCAACTGTTGTTCCTGAGATTCAGATAACAACATTCTTAGGTAAATACTGTGCACGTTGTTGCAAGTTTTTGCTTAATTTTCAGAGTTCTAAAAAAGTTTATTTGACAGTTTTTTACAAACATTCTCACTGTTTTTGTGGAGGAAAGAATTTTTGGAGATACTCCACCATGTCATTAGGTGCCTCGAGGGATCTGGGTTGATGCGTTGGGTACTATGGGGAATGTGGAAGCTGAGAGTAGTGTGGAGTTTTGAAAGGATGTCTCTGCCTAGGGGCGGAGTTGGGCATGAGGGCAGGACTAAGAAAGAGCGAGTGAAGGAAAAGGTGTGCAGGGAGCAGAATAGTGGAGGGGTGGCTCAGGGTTTGGAGACTTGTCGATCAATTCCCACAACAGAGAAAAGGGAGGACTGAGTGGGTCCTGAAAAATTAGGTAAAGCAGAGTAGTTTGCCTGGTACTAATTTAAAAAAACATACTGGCCTACTGCCACCATCAGGGTTACCCTTGGCTTGGATGCAGCGATGGTAGTTTCCGGGGCATCCGTTTCAGGGCACCGTCAGTCTTCAGCGGCAAGGCCAGTGAGATCCAAATAGGAGGTTTGATCGGCTCTGGAAGGGATGAGGGCGGTCCTTGCAGGGGCCGCTCACAGTCCAACTTCCAGTGGGGTCCTCCGCAGAGGGGGCACGGCCTGGTGGGCTTACCTGGATTTGGGCATTGTCTGGACCAGTGGACTTCATTGCCACACTTGAAACAGGTGCCAGGTGGAGGTAGGTTGCTAGGAGGCTTCCGTGTGGAGCTGCGGCCCTGTAGGCCTGCAGGGCCCCTGATGGCGGAGGCAAGCATTTGAAACTCCATCCATTTTTGCCTTTTACTTTCCTCATCATGATTGTTAAAGACTATGAAGGCTAAATTAAGAAGTTCTTGTTCTGGGGTTTGAGGGCCGTCGTCAAGCTTCTGAAGCTTGCACTGAATATGGGGGGTGGACTGGGAGATGAACCGAAAGTTTAAGATAGTGGTTCGTTCTGAGGGTTTGAAGGGGGAAGGGAGGTTGAGTCAACAGGCAGTGAAGTTTAGGTAGGGGCGTATGGTGGCGGGATGGGTTTACAAGCCTTAGGAGAGGGCAGTGGGGGAAGATAATGGGTACAGGCAATACTAGAATTGTCCTGAGGAAGGGATGGTGTAGGAAAAGAAGTGGATACAGCTGACTGGGAAGATGGCAGCTGAGAAGACAACGAGGAGGCTTGAGGGGGTTAAAGAAGACAGTTGAGAGGAAAAGGTAGGGGCTGGGAGGGGTGGACAGCAGTCAACTGGATCAAATGAGGAAAAAGAGGTAGAGTTGGGAGGAGAAAGGTGATCAGGGCGGTAAGAATGGAGGGGAAGGATTTGAACAGGTAAGAAGAATTGCGGAGGTCAGGTTGTGATCTGAGTGGAAAAAGGCATGGACATAAGGAATTTCTCCCCATTTTTCCAGTCATTGGCAATAATTGCTTAAGTCAGTTAACATTATAAAGCTGAATGTTCTATTTGCGGGCCATTTGGACCCATTATTTAATTGGTACTGTGGCCAGGCTGTATTGCAAAAAAGACAAAGCGCTTAGGGCGAATATCTTGCCTGAGGCCTAAGGTTTGCAGGTTTTTTATGAAGCAGCCTAGAGGGCTGTTGTTTGGAATGCAGAACTGGGAGTTTCCCATAACAGAGGGTAGGCCCGGGAGAACAGGGAAAAAGGAGACCGTCCTGGAGGGAGATGATAAAAGGAGCAATTGTCACCGCTGCCTTTTTCGTCCATCCATCCGGGAACAGGATCAAATGGCTTAGAGGCATCCCCCTAAGACCAGATGATCAGCGAGTGCCTGGCACACGCCGGAGCCTTCTTGGACCAATTTTGGATTTTTGGACCAGAGAAACTAAGAGAGGCTCTGCGGATTTTCCCTGTTAACCAGGCTTCTGGGGAAACCTCTGGGGAAACAGTAGGTGAGATCAGTGACCAATGTGCATGCACAGAGAAGCAACTAGAGACCAAGGAGCTTCCTTTGTCTGGCTGCTGTGGCTTGCTCTCTGGGGTGGAGGGGTAGATCCACGGGGGATGTGGACCAGAACCCCTCCTGGGTTTCGGCACATATAAGGTTCTTGTATTGGTTCAAACCCTGAGAGCGCACCAACAGACAACATGAGGTGGTGTGGATGCTGTTTTAATGACTGCCTGGGCGCAGGTGGGCTGAGGGCTAGACAAAGGTTTTATAGTCTCCTGTAAACAGGAAGTGTCCTAGTCTGACGTAATTGCTATGTTGGACACGATGGCCTCTTTCTCAATCTTCAGAGGTACGCATCTTCCTGCCGCCTCTCTTCCTGCTACTGCTATCTTGCTGGCGCACGCTGCTAGCGCAAGTAGCCTTGCGCCTTGGGACTGGGCCTGAGAAGGGAGGAGTTACTCATCTCCTTAAGCTTTCAGGTCCCAGGGAGAATCTTACACTTTTCATCCCTGCTTTGAGATGCCAGGGAAATCTGCAGGTGTCTTCTGAAATCCAAAGTCCGTTCTAAGCTTGTTTTATAAGAGCGACACACAGTAAGTAATGATGAGTGAGTTTCTCCTCGTGGTCATGAACTTTTGTACCAATACTGAAACCGTCTTTGTAAAATTATAACTGAGGAAATTCTGACAGTGAAAGAAATCAGACCTGACTGACTCCATCTTGCTTCTAACCTGTAAGCTGCCCTCGTTCATTCCTGGGCATAGGCTGAACTAACTTTGGGAAGGAATTCAGTTCATGGTTTGACTCTGAAACAAAATTAGATAATAACCCCTTCCCAAAAAGACCCCCTTCTTGCCTGGGGACCAGTCTGCCTTTGCAGGACTAACAAATTAGCTACAAGATTAGAAATTACCGTTTAGGGGTCATGCAGCCTCTGGCTCCAAGAGTCTGAACCTCCCCAAATTGCTCCTGGGGATAACATCCCTATTGTAAAACCTGACATCAGTTCTTGAGATATTTTGCAGACCTTGCACTGGATGGATCAACTGACATTACCCGGATGGGTAATTGGGCTCAACCAGTTCTGCCATCCCACCCAGTGACAGAAAACAGCAAGAAAAGCTCCCTTTGCACCCTATGATTCCATCTCCAAACTGACCAATCAGCACTCCCCACTTCCCAAGCCCCTACCCACCAAATTATCTGTAAACACTCTGATCCCTGAATTCTTGGGGAGACTGATTTGAGTAATAATAAAATTCCGGTCTCTGCACAGCCAGCTCTGCAATTCCCCATTGTAATTCCCCTGCCTTGATAAATCGGCTCTGACTAGGCAGCATGCAAGGTGAACCAATTGGGTGGTTACAATTCTTAATTATGAAGTTTAAATCTTTTGAAAATATTGTGCCTCAAAGAGGTGCCAGCAAAAAAATGAAAGTGATTCTGTATATCGTAAGACGATGTTTCAGAATTTTAGTATATAGTAAGAATTTGAAAACTTTCTTTACTTGTGATCTGTATAGCTATGTTGTACCTGGGAATACAATGTGATACAGAGAATATTCTGCATTAATCTTTCATGAGATTTCTTTATCACTTGGTAAGGTAATGAGGACTCCAATTGGCTTCTTTTGAAAAATCATAAAATCAAAAGAATTCTGGTCTTGAAGGAAAAAAAAAAGGCGAGTTTTACTGCTGGGTTTACCCTGTGTAATCATGGTATTAAAAGAAACAAAAACCTTAAACAACAAAAAGATAATTTTATAGAGTTTATTTGAACAAAGAAAATTCACGAATCAGGCGGCACTCAGAACCAGAAGAAGTTGAGAGAGCTCCATTCTTCAATATGGGCGAGGAGTATAGACAAAACAGGAAAGTGAAGTACAGAAATAGCTTGATTGGTTATAGCTAGGCATCTGCCTTATATGGACATGGTCTGATGAGTTGATCAGGTTTCAGTTTCTTTACTTACTAAGGAAGATTGCATAGCAATAGAAGTACAGAGACAGCCTTGGGCAAAATTTAAGTTAACAATGGGCAAGTCATTTAGTTGACTGTGCTTTTATTTCCTCATTTGTTGAATGGTTTGTTTTTGTTTTTGTTTTTTCTTAGCAAAAAACAAAAATAGGTCTATTGTAAGAGTCAAATGACATAATGCTTGTTATGATGTCATTTAAATCATAAGGTCAAATACAGGTATAAGGTGAAGATTTTGGTATTTGGTAATGATATGCTATAATGGTTTCCTAGCCAGTATATACTGCATTTACTCTATAGAATTTTTGTATAATGTGCCTCTATTGTTGTTTAGATAAGCAATCTATAGATAGGCTGAATTTGAATTCTGCTCTTCTGTTTTGCTTAAATGTTTCCTTTCTTTGTTTTAGTTGCTGATTGTTGGAGGTTCTTTTGGTCTTCGTGAGTTTTCTCAAATCCGATATGATGCTGTGAAGATTAAAGTAAGAAATATAATTAGAGTTTGACATGTGTCTGTCTGTATGTATGTTCTCATTTAGGAGAATTGTATACTCAGTACACTATGCAGTCTGAGTTTGTCTTGCTTTTCAATGCTAAGATGTGATCTTTGTTTTTTTCTTTAAAATAACATTAGTGATCACGTGGCAGTGAATCATGAAATGTAACTAATTTAGTAATCTATCTTTCTTTCTTTTTCTTTCTTTTTTTTTTTCCCCATGGGGTCTCACTCTGTCACTCAGACTGGAGTGCAGTGGCCTATCCTGGTTCACTGCAACCTCCACCTCCCAGGCTCAAGCGGTTCTCTTGTCTCAGCCTCCTGAGTAGCTGAGATTACAGGTGCGTGCCACTACCACTGGGCTAATTTTTGTATTTTTAGTAGAGACAGGGTTTCACTATGTTGGCCAGGCTGGTCTTGAACTCCTGACCTCAAATGATCCACCTGCCTTGGCCTTCCACCCAGTCTAGTAATCTTTCTTATTTCATTAGAAAATTTGCAATATTGTTAGCATTCTCCCACAAAATGTGATCTGGTGTAGCTGTTTTTAGGATTTAGAAGGGATTAAAAAACATAGGTCAATAATTTTGCTTTATTTTTCTCTAATTATATTTCATATTAATATCCATAATTGTATAAAGTATATTGATATGTATCTTTAATAATTGTTACTAAAAGAAAGGAAAACTATTTTTCAGTATAAATAAAGACACCTACATTTATAGTGTCTACTTTGTAGTAGGACTATATTAGTTCATACACACACACACACACACACACACACACACACACAGATGATCCTTGATTTATAATGGGGTTATGTCTTGCTTTAAACTCATTGTAAATTGAAAATATTGTAAGTAAAAAATGCATTTAATACCTGATTAAGTGGATTGTAAAGTAAAAGAACTGTAGGTTGAAACATTGCAAGTTGGGGACTGTCTATATATTATCATCTTTATTTTACAGGTGAGGAAACAGGGGGTCTATACATTAACTATAGTGGATCTTTACATGAAAAAAACGGAAGAAAAATTTAAAAAGCTTAATTAAATTGGCTAAGGTCACATGGCTACTTACGGGTAGAGCTAGGATTCTCACCCTGTGTAATCACACAATTGTGAAATTCAGGTGTTACATAAGAACTCTGTTTTTTTCATTCAGAAGTACATAGCTTTTGTTTGTGGCACATATCTGATATTTGTAGTTTTTTTTCCCAAGTAATATATATATTTTATTAGCAGACCTCAGTAATATCGATAGAAAAGTAGAGTATAAAGTCCTATTCAGTTTCCTCAGTTAATTTTGTGGTTTTAAGAGAAACCAACATCAGCTAGTTTTAAAGACAGTAGGTATTAGGGTAAATATTAAATTTTAAAAAATGTGTACTTTCTATGAAGGAATAGAACAATTTTATTTAATGAGCAATTTTACTTAATTTTCAGTTAACTTTCAATTTAACTGTGTTAGAAGATTTCAGTTAGCATCCCAATTACTTTGTCAAGGAATTTTTTTCTTTTTCCCTTTAAGATGAAAATTATGGTAGTATATGACATTTGAAGGAGAAAATAAGTATGTATTTGGAACATAATTGAATAGTGGTCATGTGTTAATATTTGTTAGATACTGCAAGTAAAGTATTCAGAAACTAGTACTTATAAAGTTTATAATTGAGGCTGGAAGACAGCTAATAAAAAAAATGTACCCAGACATATAATATAGCAATGCCAGTAAAATGCCGTTATTAGAAGTTCAAGGAGAGCTGTATAGTTTTAACTTGGAAAAGGAGAATCAGAGAAGGTTTTCTAAAGGCATTAGCCTTTGAATTAGGCTTTAAGAATGAGCAGGAATTAACTAAATGATAGAAATAACTTATATTCTATAAGGTAGAGGGAGTATTGGGCACATGGTCAGTGTTTCATTTTAGAAATAGCTCGCTGGCAGTGGAGTACAGGTGGATGGTTTTTGGGGGACCAAAATGGAAGAGAAAATATTGTTTAGGTTGGAAGTAAAGAGACCTGTTAGGATTCTGGGGCAGTAGCATGGATGAACAATAATGGAACCTGAAATAACATATTTGCAATGATGATAAAGAGAAATTAATGAGTTCCAGCAATAATTTTAGCAGCAAATTGATAGTATTTGATGACTAATATATGTAATATAAAAATATGAATAAATCTAGGATGACTCAAGGTTTCGGTTTTAAGGACTGGGTAAATGGTAGTGCCAGTAATCCAGTGTATTAGTCTGTCTTCACATTGCTAATAAAGACCTACTCAAGACTGGGTAATTTATACAGAAAAGAGGTTTAATTGACTTACAGTTTCACAAGGCTGGGGAGGCCTCAGGAAACTTACAGTCATGGCAGAAGGGGAAGCAAACGTGACCTTCTTCACATGGTGGCAGGAGAGAGAAATGAGAGCCTAACGAAGGGGAAAATCCCTTATAAAACCATCAGATCTTGTGAGAACTTACTGTCACGAGACTAGCATGGGGGAAACCACTTCCAGGATTCAATTACTTCCCACTGAGTCCCTCCCATGACATATGGGAACTGCAATTCAATATGAGATTTGGGTGGGGACACAGCCAAACCATATCACCCAGTTAAGGAGAACAGGGGAGGCTGAGCTACCAGGTGAGGTTTAAGAAATGGAGTCAAAGTAAATGGAACAAGGTTAGGTAAGGTTAACAGAATGAGGTTGATTGAAGTTGAGAGGACAAGGTCAGTTGAAGTCAAGGGAATTAAGTTAAAAGAATGGGGGATGGTTAAGGTCTATAGGAGGAAGATGAGAGGACATAGTTGAGGTGAGAAGGATCAGAAGACAAGGCCTATGAGATTTAGAGGCCTAGGTTGGTTGATGTTGAAAAGTCAAACTCAGGTGATCAAGAGTCAGTGTTTGGGTGAGGTTCAGTTCCAGTTAGGTAGAGAAGATGAGGTAATGTTGAGAGGAGTTAAGAGGTTGAGTTTTGTCCTTGAGGATTGAAAGGATAAGACTGGTTGAGGCTGATAGTGGTTGCATGGGTTAAGAGATTGAGGTTAGGCTGGTTAAGAGGGTAAATTGCTAAGGTCAAGGGGGGTTGACACTGTGGCCTAAAGGAAAAACTTGCATCAAAAGAGGATGGGTTCAGTTGAGAAGTTTGGAAAAGGATGTAGAAAGGACAGTATGGATTTGGGGTGACCAACCATCATTGTTTGCCTGAGACAGTCCTGATTTTTGTACTGAAAGTTTGGCATCCCAGGAAAGAAAACATCTGGCTTCTCAGTAAAGAATGTGCAAAGGACAGGGGAAAGTATAAGCCTAAAAAAGTAAGAGCTGGAAGCAACAGCTTTCAAGTTTTAGAAAACGATTTGGAATAGTTTATCTGCTGTCCCTAGTGGCTGTTGCTGATTTTTTCTCATGAGTGCTGATACTAACCACCAAGGATCCATAATAATGGATCATACATTGTTGCATCAGACCAAGTGATGTGATTTAAGTGTGCAATATAAGTATGCTACATTTGCGAGCAGTAAGTCTTCAACTTTGCCTGCCTGTTGTGCTTTATAACAGATGGTGTTAGTTCAATTTTTAACATTATAAATATTGTGACCAAGTTTTCTAAGATTAGATAATGAAAATGAGAACAGTTACAATACCAGTGCCAGTATGATTCAGACATCACTGAAAAAGGAAGCTAAATGACTCTGTCATTTTAATGACATATGGAAGGACACATACAACTGGATTAAGGAATTAAATAACCAAAACGGAGCATACTGCACAGTATGCAAACAAGAAATTGAGATTGGGCATGGTGGAGACAGGGATGTGAAAACAGATATGAAGACTGAATCTCACAGGTCCAGGATGAGGCAGGCAAGTACTTACAAATCAATCATAAGTTTACTCATCTCCCCGAAATACAATACTATACTCAGTCTAAAATAGAGCTGCTGAGTTAGCTTGTGCATACCATACCAATGAGAACATGCATTATCATATTGTTCTCTTGATTGCTCTATGAAATTGACTAAAGTGACATTTTTCTGATTCAGAGGTTAGAACTATTAAAATATCCTATGGATGAACAAAAGGGGGACTGGTACCAGGTCTGTTGTCCTCCTATGTATACTGTTAAATTTTACCAAGGATCGTGCTTTCTATAGTATATCAATGCTAAACTGAAAAATGGCACCAAGAAATGTCCAGGTACTTGATTAAGAAAAAACTGAGTTTTAAATTATATTCTAGGGCCAGGCATGGTGGTTCATATGTGTTAATCCCAGCACTTTGGGAGACCGAGGTGGGTGGATCACTTGAACCAGGAGTTCAGGACCAGCCTGGGCAATATGATGAAACCTCATCTCTACAAAAAATGCAAAAAATTAGCCAGGCCTGGTGGTGCATGCCTGTAGTCCCAGCTGCTTGGGGCTGATCTGGGAGGATTGATTTAGCTCAGGAGTTTGAGGCTGCAGTGAGCTGTGATTGTGCCATTGCACTCCAGCCTGGGTGACAGAGCGAGACCCTGTCTCAAAAAAACAAACGACCCAAAAAGCCAAATTATCTTCTGATTTCTTTGAAGATTTTAATGAAACCACAGAAAATGTAAAACCAAAAATTGTTCATATCTTGTCAGTTGTTGCTTTTGCCCAGTTTTCTTTATGAGATGCCAATCAGATATATGTTCTATTCTTTATGCCCAACATTTCTGTTATGATTTTTCAGCGTTTTCCCCCCATTCTTTTTTTTGTACTTTATTTTTGTATATTTTCTATTGTTTTATCTTCTAGTCACTAAATTTCTCTTTTGCTGTGTTCAATCTCCACATAAAGCCATCCCTTGATTTCGTGATTTCAGTTACTATATTTTTTAGTTTTAAAATGCACATTTAATTCTTTATTACACATTCTAGTACTCTGGAGAAATCTTCTCTGATGCCATATTTTAATCTATTTTTTCCTTTGATATCTTGAATATATACAAATTATTGTTACTTTAA